CTCCTCACTTTCTAGAAGCTCAGACGAGAGACTGCTCTTCTGGCAGTCACAGGGGCTGGATGTCACTACCCTACCCCAAGAGCTGCGGCCTCCCCACTGCCACCCGTGTTGTTCTGTACGTGTGCACACTGCCTTCTCCACACCTTCCAGACGGCATCTGCCATCATGAGACACTGGTTACCATCTCCTAAAAGACAACAGGTGCCAGGAGCGGGTGTTGGGCACAGCTGGGTGCTACGTTGCTGCTTGGGACACCTTAATCTACATCACAGTGCCTGTCTGGAGTCCCAGCTCCTCCACTTCTGATTCCAGCGCCCAGCTGATGTGCACCCTGGGAGGCAGCAGGCAATGGATCAAGCACTTGAGTCCCTGGCACCCACGAGAGACCTGGATGGAGTTCCTGGCTTGTGGCTTCAGCCTGTCCCAGCCCTGGCTGTTGTGGGCATTTGAGGAGTGAACTAGTGGAAGGAAGATCTCTCTCTCTCCTCTCTCTCTCTTGCTCTCTCTGCCTTCCAAATAAAGTGAAAATCCATAAGTAAAATTAAAAGAAGAGATGCTTAATTCATTAGAATATGGCATATGTAAGAACCAACATGAAATTATTCATTCTTTATCTCTTCATTTTCAAGTCAACAGGACTGTGATAAAATCATGTTCCTTCTAACAGGCTACAGTTGGGTGTCGGTGAGCAAGGATGGGAAAGAGAGAACTATCCTGTCTGATTCCCGCCATCCTGCAGTTACCTGGGCTCAAAATTCTCACTGTTGGGAGCCAGCGTTGTGGTGTAGCAGGTAAAGCCGCTGCCTGTGATGCCGGCCAGTTCGAGTCCCGGCTGCTCCACTTCCTATCTACCTGAGACAGCAGCTGAGGATGGCCCAAGTGCTTGGGCCCCTGCACCCACACGGGCGACCGGGAAGAAGCTCCTGGCTCTGGCCAGCCATCATCCAAGGAGTGAAACAGTAGCGGGAAGATCTCTCTCTGTCACTCTTTAAAATACATCAGTAACTCTTAACCCTCGTTTGCCTTCTCCCCAGTGCTGACACAGCCAACAGGAACTGGTGCTGCTCTCTGCGCCCTGTGCTCAGGACTTGAAGAGGTTCAAGACTCTTGACAACACTTTCACAGGTCCAATATGCCTGCAAACACATCCCGGCACAGGCGAGACAATGGACTCTAATTTGGTGCCTCGATAATTGTTTCTGGCATCTCCGTTTTAAAATGTTTTTCTTTGACACGGTCCTAAGATGCTTTTTGGATTTAAAATTAAAAAAAATAAAATCTGCCAAGAAATGTCCTTTTCTCTCTTCCCCTACTTCCGCATAATTGTGCTCAGATGCCAGCTAGGGCAGTGGTATTTTAAGTGGCGTGTATATATTTAGCAGTGCAATTATGCAAATCCTGCCGCGTGTATGATTGTAAATATCCCTTGGGGGCAGTGCCGTAGCATCTAGTCCTGAACCGAGCTTTTGAAGGGTCTGGATCAAAATGCCCAGAATTCATCCCTGAGTTGACTTCTCTGCCCGGTGCAGCTGGGGCTCTCTCCCGGGGTGGGACACTGCACGTGGCGGGAGATGGGTGGGTTCTCCAGGGGGTCTGGGCTTCTATGCCACTCTCTGGCTCTGTGATCTTGGGCAAGCTACTCACCCTCCCCGAGCCTCAGCATCGGCATTTCACAGACGGGGATGAGGGTGTGGGGTCACGACGACGCAGGGCACAGTGCCATCTGGAATCTTCTACCTCCAGCCTGGCTCAGCCCCCACGGCCCTCTGCAGAGCCCAGCAGGCCCTCAGTGCAGCCCAGTCACCCAGCACGCCACACGGGGAACCGTGGTTGAGGGGGAGGGAGCCTGGCCCAAGCCCCACAGGTCCCACGTTCTTACCTGCCCAGGTATGGTAGGGGGACGGCTGGGGGTCCCTTTTAGTAAGGAATCTGTTTACTCCTCCCACGTGCCTGGGTTGAGTTAGAGGGCAGTGTTTTGGTCTTTTAGTGAGAGTGATTGCAAATGAAAAGGGTGTGTGTGCACGTGTTCACATATGTGTGTGTGTGTGTATGTGTATCTACGGGGTGACTGGGGGAGGCAATCCAGCCAGGCCACCTATACATAAGCACCCCAGTTCCACCGTTGGGAGAGACAGTGAGGCATCACTTGGATCAGGTGCAGGAGAGAAAATTCTTGCTTGGCAGTATTCCTGTACAATTGTACAATTACATGCATAACGACAGCCGCACGTCCAAACGGGAGAGTGGTCGTGACAGTGTGTCTCAGCACAGCCTCAATCCTGGCTGGCCAGGACGTGCCTGGAACCCTGCGGGGCAAGCCCTGTGCTGGATTCCAGGTAGCGGATTCTGGCGTCAGATCTTCCGCTACCCACAAGGGGGCCAGAGTGGGAGGCGCGGGCGCTCACGGCCCAGGTTGCCAGGCGTTCCCTGCTGTCTGCGCTCAGTTCTTCCTGTTCTGACCTCTCCATCACACGCCCTTTCCCACCAGGGGGACCTCGCCCACCACTGTGCACCCTGCCTGGGAGGCACAGGGAACGCGTGTCCGAGCCTGGCCTGTCTGGGCAGATGTCGCGCTGGCCGTGGCTCTGGACACGAGCCACTCCTGTCGGCTGCCCCTGGGCTGCTCTGATCCTTAGACGGTCACTTCCACAGGACTCTGGAGACAATGAATGCTAATGTCCAACCCTTCGTTTTCCCTTAGTTCTGCACAATCATGCCAGCCACTGTCTTTGCTTTTTCTAAAGATGCATTTATTTATTTGAAAGGCAGAGTTACCCAGATGGCTGCAATGGCCAGGGTTGGGCCAGTAGGAAGCCAGGAGCCAGGAGCTTCATCCGGGTCTCCCACATGGGTGCAGGGGCCCAAGGACTTGGGCCATCTCCTGCTGCTTTTCCCAGGCCACAGCAGAGAGCTGGATTGGAAGTGGAGCAGCTGGGATTTGAACTGGCACAGGATGCCAGCACTGCAGGCATCTACTGTCCTTGTTTTTCTGGCCGAGGGAGAGACATTTGTTGTGTCATGGGGTTGGTGTTGTGGCACATCGGGTTCAGTCACTACCTGGGATGCAGGCATCCCGTAGCCCTGGCTGTTCCACCTTCCCATCCAGCTTCTTGCTAATGGCCTGAGGAGGCAGCAGGTGACAGCTCAAGTCCCTGGGCCCCTGCCACGCACATGGGAGACCCGGATGGAGTTCCAGGATCCTGTGTTCAACCTGGCCCAGCCCTGGCCCGAGCTGTTGCAGCCAGTTGGGAGTGAACCAGCACACAGAAAATCTCTCTCCCCACCCCTCTCTCTGTCGCTCAGCCTTTCAAATAAATAAAATAAATCTTAAAAAAAATGAATTTGTGTGTCACATGGATAACCCCAAAATAATCATGTTTATTCACCTCCCAGCCTCCTAAAATCTCTCCGCTGGGATGTTCCCTGTGCCTGAGGGACGCCCCTCTGATGATGTAGGGAGACAGGGATTCCCCGTGTGTGTGTGTGAATCGCACGGTGGGCAGGTGACATGGCAATCACAGGCCCGATCCACTTCCGGTAAAGCCGTGTCAGTGAGCGAGGCCGGCACCCCGTGTGCCGAGCAGGGTTCTGCTAAGGGGCTGAATAACCGAACACCTGATTGGATTTTCCATCCCCTTTGGGATGCATTCAGGACAAGGGACCCAGCTTCTGAGCCTAGCTTTTGCTGATCACAATAATGACGTCGACTTCCTGCGACCAATTTGGCTTACAGAAATTCCCTCTATCAAAATCAGCTTTTTTTAAAAAAGGATTTATTTTATTTATTATTTGAAAGACAGAGTTACAGAGAGAGGCAGAGCCAGAGAGAGAGGTCTTCCATTCTGCTGGTTCACTCCCCAAATGGCTGCAACAGCTGTAGCTGAGCTGAGCCAGGAGCTTCTTCCGAGTCTCCCACACAGATGCAGGGGCCCAAGGACTTGGGCCATCTTCTAGTGCTTTCCCAGGCCACAGCAGAGCGCTGGATCGGAAGAGGAGCAGCTGGGACTAGAACCGGCGCCTATATGGGATGCCAGCACTGCAGGCTGGGGCTTTAACCCACTGCACTGCAGGCTGGCCCCAAAACCAGCGTTTCTGATAGGGAATGAGCTTTGGACATAGAGTGGGAAGGCTATGGACTAGTAAATTATTATGCATATGAGGAAATTGAAGGGACCAGCATTGGGGTGCAGTGCAGTAAGCCACTGCCTGTGATGCTGGCATCCCCCATCAGAGCACTGGTCTGGGTTCAGGTCCCCACTGCTCCACTTCAGATTCAGCTCCCTGCAAATGCACCTGGGAAGGCAGAAGATGCAAGTAGTTGGGTCCTTGCCACCCACATAGGGGACCCAGATGGAGTCCCTGGCCCCTGGCCTTGGCCTGGCCCGGTCTTCGCTGTTATGGTTATCTGGGAAGTGAACCAGCGGATGGAAGATCTCTTTGCCTCTGTCTCTCCCTCTCTGTCGCTTTGCCTTTCCAATAAATAAATCTTAGAAACAAAGGAAATCAAAATAGACAGAATGTCACTCACTAGGACCATCAAGAGCATGAATTCCAACCCATTCTATCCTGATACAAATTCAGGTTTTTATCAATCCTGAAGACAACGACAAAACAAAACCACATTCTAAACGAAAAACGCCAAGCGCCACTCAAACGCCTCCTCCCTGAACCCCTCACTCCCTAAACCGGACAGCAGAGCAGTGACCACAATCCCTGGAGACGTCTGTGTCCCATGGTTCCTGCACGGCCTGACTTTCTTCAGCGTGGCTCAGGTGCACAATGGTGACAACACCGTGAGACCCACACCCCAAGGCCTGCACGCTGTTGACCCCACGGGTGCACCTGTCCCGCTCAGCACAGCCTCACCGGACCCCACCCACTTGGAAACACTTGGCAGACCAGGGTCAGCTGTGGGCGGCACGAGGCTGGTGCGTGCCCTGTGTTCCCTGGGGGACCCCTGGAGAGCAGCCCAGCTCTCGCCCACTCTCCCCACGCCTTACCTGGTCTCTCTGTCTTTGGGAATAGTGGCTGTGCTGTAGGTGAATACTTGCTTCTCGACCAGGGGCGGCCCGAGGTCCACAAAGCCCGGAAGGTTCCGTGGCTTTTCCAGGTACACCAAGGTGCCCGGCTCCTTCTTGAAGGACTGACGGCTGGGCGAGGCGCGGTCGGGCTGCAGGGTGTGGGGGAGCCCGTGGGCGCCGTGAGCCGGCAGGTCCAGCATGCGCAAGTCGCCGACCCGGTGCGGGGAGGCGGGTGGCGTCTTGGCGCCCAGCGTGGGCAGCTGGCTGTCGGGGTACTTTCTGGGTTTCTGCCGGTACAGCGCCTGCTCCATGTGCATCTCGGCTTGCAAGGAGGGGTTGCAGTAGGCGCTTGCCGAGCGGATGGCTGTGCGGTGGTAGGCGACAATGTGGTCGGGGACATCAAGGGGGTGGCCTCCATGGGACGAGGCTATGCTCATGCGCCCGTCGTGGTAGAGGTAGGGGTCCGCGTAGAGACCCTCGTTCCTATACATGGCCAGGTTCTTGCCTCCGAGGTCCTCATCCGGCTTGACGTCCCGTCTCTCCAGGATGGCACTGGGGCTGGGGGAGATGGATCGGGAGACGGGCAGGCTGGAGAGTCTGTCCCTGGGGATGGTGGCGTTGCCAGGCACCATCATGGGCCGGGAGCCCCCGTACGGGATCCTGGACGGGGAGGGGGGCATGGAATGGGGCACGGGTGTGGACGGCGGGGAGCTCGGGATCGCGTGGGCGGGATGAGCCATGGAGCCGGGTCGGGAGGCACCGGGGCCTTCTCCTCGTGCGTAGACCATTTCCCTCTGCATCTGCAAATACAACCAGGCATGAGAACGTGGCCTTGACACCCAGGTTTCGGGGCGTCTCGATGTGACTGATGGTGTGGCCTCCTTGAGACCCCCCTCCCCCAGCCTCCCCCTGCCTACCCTGCAAGGTGTTCATGCCTTCATTTCTGGAACCTTCCCCAGGCTCAGGGACTTTACAGGTATGGAGAAGTTAAAGATGATGGGGGCCTGCGCTGTGGCCTAGTGGGCTAAGCCTCTGCCTGCAGTGCGGCATCCCATAAGAGCGCTGGTTCTAGTCCCAGCTGCTCCACTTGCGATCCAGCTCTCTGCTATGGCCTGGGAAAGCAGTAGAAGATGGCCCAAGTCCTTGGACCCCTGCACCCATATAGGAGACCCAGAAGAAGCTCCTGGCTCCTGGCTTAGATCGACATGGCTCTGGCCTTTGTGGCCATTTGGGGAGTGAACCAACGGATGGAAGACTTTTTTCTCTGTCTCTGCCTGTCTGTCTGTAACTTTACCTCTCAGTTACATAAATTAAGAACTCTTTAAAAAAAAAAAAAAGAAGCTAAGAATGTTGAGATGGGTGAAATGCTCTCCAGTGGGCCCAATGCAATCACGGGGTCCTCATGAATTGGACAGGGGGCAGGGCAGGGAGGTCGGGACGGGGGGAAGCTGTGCCACACACAGAGAGACCAGGGATGCCACACTGCTGACAGTAAGGATGGAGAAGCAGGCAGGTGTCCCCAGAAGCCGGAAAAGACCAGGAAAGGGAGGCTTCCTCAGGGCCTGTGTCCCTGTAGGATGCAGTGACCTTGGCCAGGAAACCCATTTTGGATTCTTGCCCCTCCCAAGTGTCAGATAACAAACTCGAGCAGCTGTACATCGCTAAGTCTGCGGCAATTCGTCACAGTGACTTCAGGCAGCCAGTGCACCCGACGTACAGCCCTGTCTCTCGGGCTTGAGGGGAGAAGATGGAGAGTCGAATGGGCTAGTAGTGCTGCAGCGGGGCTTTCCAAAGCTTCCCCTGTGCACGTCTTCCCCCCAGGAACTCTGGGAAATAGTAACCCGGCTTTCCCAGGTCTCCAAGCTGACGCAATCGAGGGATGGGACCAAGGAAAGCTCAGAGGGAAGCTGTCTTCATCCGCCAACCCTGCGGCACCCAGAGAGAGACGGGGAGATGAAGACGCTCTGGGGACCGGCCGCACCAGCAGGGTGCACCAGCAGGCGCCTTCAGGAGAACAGGGACTTTCTGCTGCGCTTAGGGTCAGACCAAGACCCGCGAGGGGCAAGTGCACTGGATTCCCCAAAAGGCCCAAAGGGCACCAACAGCTCCAGCTCCCCATTTAAGTCTGCTCTGTGCCAGCACAGGTGCCCACGTGCCCCATCCTGCTCCCAGGAGATCTGACTGATTAGAGGCGTAAGTGTGGGAGGGCGGGGTGAGGAGACAAGAACCAGGATGATGGGGCCGGTGCTGTGGCACAGCAGGTAAAAAGCTGTCTGCGCTACCAGCATCCCATATGTGTGCCGGTTCGAGTCCTGGCTGCTCCACTTCTGATCCAGCTCCCTGATTATGGCCTGGGAAAGCAGTGGAGGATGACCCAAGTGCTTGGGCCCCTGCACCCATGTGGGAGACCTGGAGGAAGCTCCTGGCTTCGGATTGGCCCAGCTGTAGCCATCTGGGGAGTGAACCAGTGGATGGAACATCTCTTTCTGTCTCTCTCCCTCTCTCTTTCTCTAACTCTGTCTTTCAAATAAATAAATAAATCTTAAAAAAAAAAAAAAAAAAGCCAAGACCCTTGGTGAGCATGATGGGGAAAGAGTAGAAATCAGAGGCAACAGGAGAAGGCTTGAAATGAGACAGAGCCCCAAACGACGCCTTTTCATACGCATGCATAGGACCAGCCAGCATCCACTGCTCTGAGCAAGCCAAGGTCCTCACCCATGAGGACATGGGCCAGGACCAGCCCTCTGAGCTGTGGGAGCACCCCTGCACGGGCCTCTCAGCCTCCACCCAGACAACCATTTCTGGGGAGCCCCAGGGGGTGCTAGGTCCTTGCCCACCCCCCATTGGGTTCCCACCACAACAGGCTGGGTGGCTCCCCCTCTTGAAACCCAGCCTGTGATGTCCTCCAGCCGTCCTCACCCTGTGATCACAAGCTCGGACTCCAGGTGCACCTGCTCTGCACGGCCCCCAGACTTCTCTCTGTCGCCGCCCCGCAGACAGCCACACAACTCGGTAGCTCGGTGCTTGAGACCAGGAGGACCCCTCCCAGCACGCCTGCCTGGTCCTGCTCCCAGAGTGGCCGGGGCAGCCGAGGGATAGAGGTCTTGTAGGACTCAACACAGGAACACCTCTCCTGCTCTGTCTCCCACAGCTCGGGGCTCAATGAACAGAAAGTTACTGCTCAACAGTGAACAACACAGGGCATTACAAGAGGGACTGGCTCAGCCCTGGCAGCAGAGCCCGGGCCAAATCCCCCACAATGCAACAGTCAACCAAAATGAGCATGGACCCCAGAGGCCTCCATGGAGAAGGCAGCAAACAGTGCCCAACCAATGGTAAGTCCTCCTGTCATTCCTGCTATTAATTCCAAAAAGAAAATTCCAGAACCTGCTAGGGAGGAACAACCATTGTAGCAGGTGGCTCCCCGCTCATTTTGCTCTTCCTCCTCCTGCTTTCTGGAGAGGGAAGACAAAGAGACGTCAACATTCTAGAACAGTCTAGAAGGACGCAGAATGTCAGTGAAAGGGAAATGTCAACTTAGTTTTATTTGATTAAAAAACATATTTTAAAATGGCAGAGGTGTCTTAAAAACACATCTGGTGATGTGAAAAGACATCGTTGGGAGGTACATCATACAAGGAACTTGAAACAAACAAACATCATGGCCAGCTATGTGGCACAGCGGGTTAAGCTGCTGCTTGCCACGCCAACATCCCATATCCAGGTGCTGATTCGAGTTCTGGATGCTCCACTTCCAGTCCAGCTCCCTGCTAATGCACCTGGGAAAGCAGCAGATGAAGGCCTGAGAACTTGGGCCTCTGTCACCCATGTGGGAGACCCGGGTGGAGTTTCTGGGTCCCGGCTTTGGCTTGGCCCAGCTCTGGCTATTTGGAGAGTGAACTGGGGCATGGAAGATCTCTCTGTCTGTCTTGTCTCTCTGTATCTTCCTCTCTCCCTGGCACTCTGCCTTTCAAAGACATAAATAAATGTTAAAAAGTTTTAAAAATGCTCAAAGAAGCTCATTAGGAGGAAAAACTCATTAGCCTTGCTGGTGTCATGTGTAGAAGATATCGGAAAGAAATGAACAGTTAATCAGCAGTAAGTGAATCACTGCGTGGGATGTGCACAGCGGATGTGGGTGGCCGTCTGAACAGTCAACAGCCAACAGGCACCACGGCTTGGAGACCAAGCAGTGGTATCTCGGCCAGGGAGGGCAGATGCCAGCCCGGGGCCGTCAGCAGCAGGACCTGCCGGCGATGTCGCGTGATCAGCCTTGCTGTGAAAACTTCACAGAGAACCTCGGCATCCCCGATGGGGGCCGCACAGCGGAGCTGAACACTCGCTCTGAGTGTGGACAGAACACGGAGCCTGAGGCTGGCTGCTTCCCTCAGACGGGAGACTCAGAGGTTGCGAGTGAAGACGGCTGTCCCCAGGGAGAGACCGAGGAGAGAATGACGCGAGGATCCCACGGTGCAGCCGAAAGTGGCTACATGCAGGAGCCTCCAAAATGAGACAACTTGGGCTCATGAGCCAAGGGCCACGCCCCTGCCAAAGCCTGCCTGCGTGGGAGCCATCCACGGGGAGGTGAGAAGGAGAACTCCTCCAGTCTTCAGGGGACCATGTACATTCAACACCAAGTGGACCCGGCAGACGACAGGGGTGATGAGGAAGACCCCACCACCCACAATGTAAAACCCCCGGGGCCTCTCCTGCCAGCGCCCCTTCCCAAATCAGGCACCTGCACGGCTTTGCTTCATTCTTCAACTGTTACTTGGCGGTCTAGTAAAGACCTGGCTTTGAACACTCACTGGGTCTTTCCCACATGGCCACACAGAGTGAGAACTTTCAGAGGCAGGGTGGGCATTTGGTTGAGCAGTGCAGACACCTGCATACCATCCCAGAGTAGCTGGGTCTAAGCCTGGCTCTGCTCCCAGCTCCAGCTTCCACTAATGTGCACCATGGCCAATGTGCCACCGTGGCCACCCACATGGAGACCCAGATGGAGCCCCTGGAGCCCAGCTTTGGCCCTGGCTGTTGTGGGCATCTGGGGAGTGAAGCGGCAGGTGGGAGATCGCTCTGTCTCCCTCTGTCGCTCTAATAATAACAACAAACTCCAGGAGTAAATAACACTAGTCTCACAAGGTAAAATAAATAGGCCACACACACATAGACACAGCCTCACACTCACACAGTGACACATCCTCACACACACTCACTCATACACAGACACCCTTACACACACACACATCCACTCCACACTTATACCCCCATAACACACACCCTCACACTGTCTCACACTCCCTCTACATGGTCACATATACACCTGCACACACTCAGTCACAACACCTTCATACACACATCCTCACGCTCATATTCACACACACACACACCCCACACTCATCCCCTCCACATAACACACCCCCGACACGGTCACACATACACACCCGCACACACTCAGTCACAACACCTTCATACTCACGCACTCACACACATCCTCACGCTCATATTCACACACACACACCCCACACTCCCACTCTCCCCAAACACAACACACACCCTCACACTGTCTCACACACCCCACACACAGTCACACATACACACCCATAGTCACAACACCCTCATACCTTCACACTCATATACACACATTCACACTCACTCCACACTCATACCTTCCCCTACACATAACACACACCCTCACAATGTCTCACAGCCCCAGTCACAACACCCTCACACTTATACACACACACACACACACACACCACACTCTCCCCCAAACACAAAATACACACCTTCACAAAGT